CATGTTTTTTTATTTTGAATGCTGAGAAGTCATTTATAATTTACATAATTTGAAACAAAATTGTTTTCAATTCAAAAGTTAAAATTAATTAATATAACATTGAACAAGTATGTTATGAGTTATCCAAAATTGTTGATAATTGCTTATACATCAATATATATTTACTGTTGCTATTACTGTTTCTAAACATGATGTACATATGGTAACTACAAAGCTCTTTTCCCCTCATTTCTTTGCTTAGACTTTATTCTCTACTGGGCAAATACAATACTGACATATGCTATGCACAGTGAAGATAATAAGTACCCAAAGATAGTAATTATTGCAACTAAAGCAGATAAGATATCAAAGGTAATATTATTAGTCCCTCCCTATCTGACATAATCCAAAATAAAGGAGCTACTTTCCTTTGTTTATTAGTCACTGCAATTATCTATACTATATGTCAAATATTTGTCTACGTTAGACAAAGTTGGTCTTATTACTGCCAGCCAGTTTCACCAGTATAAATTAATCCTAGCACCCACCTGTTTCACCTCCAGGGGTTATGGGTAATACATGTAGAATATTCAGTTTCATTCCAAGTTCCCGACTGTGATGAGCCAGTAGTGTAAATAATTGGAGTGACTAATAAACAAGGGGGCTACCTGAAGCAGCACCTCTAGCATTGCAGTCACCCCAAGACCAACAGAAAGTCCAGTATCAAGATATTGTATGTGTACTTGTGTATGTATGTATGTGTGTGTGTGGGGGTTGTGTGCGTGTGTGTGTGTGAGTGCGTGTGTGGTAACAATGTTGTGATGACTTCAATTTAACTTTACAACGACTTGTGACGACAGGACCTACATTATGACGACCCTCACTATTTTCATAATTTATATTACATGTAATATTTAATCAAATTTAAGTCAAGTTTGCGAAGCTTAGGTTTAATAAAGGGAGGAAGGTATGGTTTATGTTAATATTAATATAATTACCTTCCCTCTTTACTAAACCTAAGCTTTGCAATCATTTCTATGATATCACGGGATATTCAACTTTTATTAAGCTCCACTGTCGACACAGCGGAGCTGTTCATATTACTGATTGTCCGTCTTCGTCATCGTCAACTTTACAATGTCAACTTTTTCTTCGAAACCGCAAGTCAGAATGTTTTCAAATTTGATATGCAAGTACCTTGGATGGTTCTTTCTCAGATTTGTTCATTTCATATCAAAATCTCAAATTCTCTATTTTTGGTGAATATTTTCGTAATTTTTGGTAAAAAGTGATATTTTCGACTTCTTGTAAAAGACTGCAAGTATGATTACTTTGATATTACATATATAGGTACTACATGTATTCTTCTCTCAGATTTGTTCATTTTGTGATGATATCTTTGATTCTCTAATTTTGATGAATATTTTATAATTTTTGGTAAAAAGTGATATTTTCGACTTCCTGTTAAAAACCACAAGTCTGATTGCTTCGATATTACACATATTGTTCATTTTCTAATGATATCTTCAGTTCTTAATTGAAATGTGCATTGCTTACAGCGGAGCTATCTCAGCCGACAGGCTGCTTGTTTAATTAAACTTAATTAAAACGCAACCCTACATAGGAACGCGTCTTAATCAAGTTCATAATTCAACTATATTAAAAGTTAATCCAATGTATGTCATTACGACGTGTATGTGTGTGTGAGTTTGTCACTGTGACCTGCAAAGATCAGACCCAGAGCATGATCAGT